AAAAAAAAAAAAACCCCAACCAAACAAAAAACAATAAAGAAATGAAAAGGCAACCTACTGATGGGAGATAATATTTGCAAAGCTTATAGCTGATAAGGGGTTAATATCTAAAATATATAAATAACTCATACAACTCAATAATAAAAAATTCAATCAATAAATGGGCAGAGGAACTAAGTAGACATTTTTTTTTCCCAAAGAAGACATCCAAATGGCTAAAAGTTACTTGTAAAGATGATTAACATCACTCATTATCAGGAAAATGCAAGTCAAAACCACCAGGAGATATCACCTCCTACCTGTTAGAATGGCTATTATCAAGAAAACAGGAGACAGCAAGTGTTGGGGAGGATTTGAAGAAAAGGGAATCCTTGTTCACTGTTGGTGGGACTATAAATTGGTTCAGCCACTATAGAAAACATTATGGAGCTTCCTTGAAAAATTAAAATAGAACTACTATCTGATCCAGCAATTCCACTTTTAGGTGTATATTCAAAGGAAAGGAAAACAGGATATATGCATGATTATTGCAGGACCAGTGGCCCGGTGCACGAAATTTGTGCACATTAAAAGGGAATTAAGTAGAGGAAATATTTTAATATTGCTATCTGCCCTTTCTCTATAAAAGAAGTGTCAGAGATGAAAGAAAATTAGTAAAATGTATATGAAAATCTTCCTCCTGTCAGAGACTGGGGTGTGCCATGGGACCCAGAGTACAGTCACTGCCCACCTGCATGTGCCTTAAAATCACGTGAGACCTAGACCTGGCCAGCCCCACCCCCGTCAATATTATCCCCACTCAGCCTGGCGTCAGGGGACCTGACCCTGGCCTGGTACCAGGGCGGGGGCCGCTCCTTGAGGTCTCCTGTCAAGCCCGGCCAGGCAGGGAGCACAGCCTCAGGTTCCCCGCCCCAGCCCGGTGCTACACAGCCTCAGGTCCCTGCTGATTGCTCATTATGGCTTGTTATGGGGACACTGCCTCCACTGTGGGTACAGCCATCTTGTGTTACAGGAACCCCACCTCTGTTGTGGGCGCAGCCATCTTGTGATGGTGTGAGGGTTAATTTGCATATTACCTCTTTATTATATAGGATTAGTCACAACAGCCAAGGTATAGAAACAACCTAAGTGCTTCTCAATGGATAAATGGATAAAGAAGATTGTATACACACACACACACACACACACACACACACACACACACACACGAATATTATTCAGACATGAGAAATAAGAAAATCCTGGCATTTGTGACAACATGGCTGGTCCTTGAAGGTACTATGCTAAGTGAGGTAAGTCAGACAGAAAAAGACAAATACTGTAGGATATCACTTAGATGTGAAATCTAAAATGCCAAACTGTTTAAAACAGAGAGTAGAATAGTGGATACCAGAAAAGGGGGTGGGGGGAAGACTCAGGGTATGTTGTTTAAGGTGCAAATTTGGCACTAGTAGATAAATAAGCCCTGGAGAGCTAATGCACAGTGTAGTGATTAGATGTACAATACTATATTATAAGCTTGAGAGTTGCTAAGATATTGATTATCCCTATCACAAAAAAAAGAAATAATTATGTGATGTGATACAGTTGTTAGCCAACATTAAGATGGTCACCATATTGCAATATATAAATGTATCGAGTCAATACATAGTATACCTTACATCTACACAATGTCCTATACCAATTATGTCAATTATATTATATATGAACTTATACAATGTCAAATGTCAATTATTCAAACAATGAAATCACAATTTTAGCTGGAGGAGAGGGAGAGAAGGGACACGCAGAACACAATTTCATCACTCTTATTTGGAGAAAGTCTCTTAGGTTAATGACTTTCTGATGAATTAAATTTTTTAGAACCTTTATTTTGCATCACTCACTAAGTTTCTTCTTAGTGACAGTCATGATGTTCCAAAGCAGACTGTGAGTTTGAAGTAAGAATAAAAAAACTCAATTGTTTTCCTTCAAAATGCCCCTAGAAATAAATAAGGATAGGTATGAGTTCCATATTGCATTCCTCATCACTATCTATATTTTAGGAGTTAGGTATGAATTGTGAATTAGAGATAGCAGAAAGTCACAAAGAAAAGGAGTTGGCAGAAAGGAAAAAAAGAGAAGAAATGTAGGTTAAAGAAAAAGGAGGGATAATTATGGTATGAATTAGTGGCACATAGCTAAGATTTCTTTTTTAAAAAAAAAATATTTTATAGAATTTTCACAGAGAGGAAGGGAGAGGGATAGAGTTAGAAACATCGATGAGAGAGAAACATCGATCAGCTGCCTCCTGCACACCTCCTACTGGGGATGTGCCCACAACCAAGGTACATGCCCCTGACCAGAATTGAACCTGGGACTTTTCAGTCCCCAGGCCGACGCTCTATCCACCGAGCCAAACCGGTTAGGGCCAAGATTTCTCTTGAAGCCCATTATGAAAAAGGATTAAATAGGAAAATGGGGAGGTGAAGTGATGGAGAGATAGGATAAAGGAAAAACTTTTAAAATCATTTTTTACTAATTGCCTAAAGTTTGATATCCACGTTATTGTATTCATTTGTCCAGGTAAGTAATGTTATTAGAACAGACAAAAGTTGGTATTTGGGAAAATGTAATATATACTAAGGACTTAGTATTTGTCTATAGTTAGGCAGTACTGTGGCATTTTAATAGCTATGATAGTACCTGGTATAGATCTAAATTTTAATGATAGAAGATGAATCTCTTAAATCCTATGCTAACAACTTCAACTGAACTAATATCCTTCCATGCCCTGTGGGGGTAACTAGTATTTTATGAAGCCCATGGATCATCTAGGCAGGAAATTATTTTCCTTTATTCTTCCATATTCTCCCTACATTTACAAGATGTAAGGAAATTGCACAGTATATTTGAAATCAGGTGAAAGAAAGTTCTCATTAAATATGTTGCAATGCAAAGTGATTATAACAGAAGGAAAATTTTATACTGGATTCACTATAATTTTTTTTTATCAGTTTCAGAAATGCAGCATAGATTTTTGCCACATTCATTTACTTCAAGTACATTCATTCAAAACTGAGTGCTTGGCATATGCCAGACTGTTTTTAAGTTTCTTGAATGAATAGGTGAGAACTGAGAGAATTGTTGAAGAACTGGAAGGATTCTTACTGTTTTCAGGGACTTAAGTTCCTTAAAACACATACACAATGTACATCAAACAGTTCTATTATTACCTTCAGACATATATTTATTTTAAATATTTTAAAATTGATTTTTAGGGAGAGGGAGAGAAACATCATTCGGCTGCTCCCCCCCACTCCCCTTTGCCCCAGACACACACACACACACACACACACACACACACCACTACTGGTAATTGAATCCACAACCTGGGTATGTGCCCTGACCAGGAGCAGAACAGGAATCAAACAGTGACCTTTCAGTGCACTGAATGACTCTCAACCAACTAAGCCACACTGGCCAGGGCATCAGACCTTTATTTAAAGCTACTTTCTGGGACTATGTAAAAACTAATTTATCAAGTACATCTTTTCAGATTTAGAGTTCCTTGTATAAAGGTAATCCTGAGAAATCCTAAGGTTCTTGGAAATGACATACCTTGGTGAAGCAATCCCCAAAGTTGCCTTTTGGCTTTATTTGACCATTTAATACACAAACATTCTTTTCATTCACATTGACATGCCATATACCACAAAATTTAATAGTATCTTTGACCCGCTTTACTCATTTCAACTCCTACATCAGAGAAACCATCATTCTCTTCTCTGTATCTATGAGTTTAAAAAAAGAAATTCCGCATATAGGCATGGCTGGTGATGCTCTCAGTTGGCTGAAGCATCATCCTGTACACTGAAAGGTTGTAGGTTTAATTTCTGGTCGAGGCATATACCTAGGTTGTGGTTTTAGTCCTGGTTGGGGTGAGTAGGAGAGGCAACCAATCGATGTTTCTCTCTCACATCAATATTTCTTTCTCTCTCTTCCTCTCTTTTAAATCAATGAAGACATATCCTCAATTGAGGATTTAAAAAAAATCCACATATAAGTGAGATCATATGGTATTTGTACTTCTTTGACTTGTATCACTTAGCATAATAACCTCAGGGTTCACTCATGTTGTCATAATTGGCAAGATTTCCTTCTTTATGGAAGACTGAATAATATTCCATTGTATATATACCACCTTTCTTTATCTATTCATGGGCATTATCTCTCAATATTTGCATGCATTTCAAAGAGATAGCTCTCAGGCCCTTGAGGACGACATTCCTGGGAAGTAAAGCTGAAAAAGCACTAGCTGATAGATCTATTTAGTCATCAAAAAGATTTATCTTGTGGCTCAGTGGTTGAGGGTCTACCTATGAACCAGGATGCCATGTTTGGATTCCAGATCAGGGCACATGCCAGGGGTTGGGGATGGATCCCCAGTGGGGGTGTGCAGCAGACAGCTGATGAATGATTCTTTCATCATTGATGTTTCTCTCTCTCTCTCTCCCCTCTGAAATCAGTAAAAATATATGTAAAAAAAAGATTTATTTTCACCTCAAAGAGACTAAAAAGTACTCAACAATTACAAGTTTTCTAAAGTAAATGATCTGAGAAGGGAAATCTCTTCCTCCATTTTCAATGGGAAAATTAAGTCTCTTATTTTAAAAGTTGTCTTTACATGTTTTGGGTTCTTGACTTGGGAACAGTAGATAAGAAAAATCTGATTTAAAATTAATGTTCTTCCATGGATAGGGCTTTCACTATGGTCAAATAAATAACCCTGTTTAGAAAAAAATAGTCACCCCTCTTCTTTGGCTCCCACGTAAATGTTTTAAAGGGGTGTAGTGTGGAGGTGAGGTTGATTGAAGTTAGATTCGCTCCAGGCAAAGAATGTGGTTCAACCCAAGTACATGATACAATGCCTTAAAAAGTCGGTTATGGGAACACACCCTTGAATGGTGACTAATACCGATCATGCTGTTAACAGAGCACCTAGTTATCTTTCTTAGCTCACGTTACTTATTTTCTACTAAATTCTTTTGGGGAGGGACGCTGCAGTCTCACTGGAAGAACAAACCAATTTGGGTCCACGCATTCTAGTCTCTCAAAGAGGTAAGAACTTTCACTGTAAGGACCACCCACAGGACGCTTTTGAACAGCATCTATCCCAATTCTAGCATCGAGGCGGTCGCCTTTTCTTAGGAGTCTCAGGCGCGGGAGTTCAGGGGTGAGCAAGATCCAGTTCCTGCCTTTAAGGATTGACTCGTTTGAAGAAGCTGAAAACCATTCTAAAGTTACAACTGATGGAAGCTAAACGTACAGCAAAAAAGGAACGATCCTGAAGGTGACAAGTGCGCAGTTAGGGTCGGGGTCCGCGATCCCAAAGCAGCCCCGGGGATCGCCAGTGCCCCGCGGGCACGCGGAGCATTTCAATCACGCCTCCGCCCCCACCCTCCGAATTCCTTTCCGGCGGCGATCGGCGGGGTAGTCCCTCGCAGGCGGCCCCAGCTTATCACTCCCGGCCTGGCCACTTCCCGGCAGGGCTCGGCGAGTCTCCCAAAGTTTCCTGTGA